GATTAGCGTCCATAGCTTTTGTCAAGCAGTCTGCGAGCTGAGCACTGGACGCCACCCAACGAAGTTTGCAATTCTCTTGCATTCTCTGACGAATGAGGAGGCACTCTATCGTTGTCCTATATTCCTCACATTGAGGAGGAGCCGTACGGGTAACAATGTCATAGACTGACTTACAGTCCGTTGCGGCAGCGGCAGTGGGCTCGTGCTCCAGTACTTTCTCAGGTTGCTGCCATGAAATGGACGGGTTCTTGAGCCATGCCCAGAACAGTCGCAACCATGACAGCCGATCTACTGAGTTGCTTAACGCAAAGGCTTCAGCTCCTAACGTACTTCTTACCACTCGGGGAATCCTCTTTGAGGACCATGCCATTGGACACACAACCGAAGGTTGATTGTCGAGGAGCTTGGTATGCGTAGCAAAAATGATCGTTCCCTGATGAGCACTCAGTTTTTGGCAAGAAGCGAAAGAAGCGTCACTGAACGCACAGAAAGTTACCTCACTCTCCTTGATAGGAACAATCATAATGGAAACCCGGTGTGCCTTGGCCTCATGGAGAACCTTGTTCCCAAGAAGAAGGTGAGAGACGCATGCCGAATTAATGGCCGACTGCAGTTCTCCAACTTTGGCACTCAAATCTGCTCTGGTGTGAACCGCTGCGTACTGCAGTGACCCGACTAGCTGACGAAGTCTCTGACGCTCGGCTTCCGTGACAGGACTGTCGGGATTCTTCCGCCTCTGCCTGGGAATGTCGATGGCCTCAATGCTCTCAACATATGAACACTGATCCATCTCAATGCTAAAATCATCCCACTGATGCAGATGAATCCCTGTGAAGACAAAATCCTTTTCCTCAAAGGAACCGAAGCTAAAACGTGAACGAAGCTTGTCGAGGGCTGCATGAAACTTGCCATCCCCACCACAGATACCATCATCTACGTGAACCCCTAGAACCCCATGATGATGAAGTATCCCACTTTGATCCCTTTCCGACAAGGTATAGAGACATGGATCGAATGGGGACTGTTGAAAGTTGAGCTCCAACAAAGCTTTACGTAACTCCTGATACCACAAATATGGAGCATCTATCCTGCCGTATGCCCCACCATCCAATCCACAGTCGTCTTGAGGACCCATTTGTAGAGCCTCCTTGATTTCAGGAGGAGCTTGAATGCCCAACTGGCGTCCATCTCCCTTCCCGTGCAAGAAAGCTGTGCTAATGTCAAAGGAGCATAGCTTCCACCGATTGCTACAGATCTTCTGAAGCAAGAGCTGACGGCCGTCCTTACTTAAAGTAGGGGCATCATTGGGAACATGATCGATGTCAGGGTCTTCGAAACCAAGAACCACTAACCGTGCCTTAGCCTTCTTGCCGTCAGGGTTTGCTTCGTCTGTCTCAGCAGCCGGCTTCCACGTGTAGATCCAGCGACATCTCATGATGTTCTTTGTCGGGATCTTCCCTTTTGCAATCTTTCGGACCGTGGCGTGCGAAAGCCATGCTCTGACTTCCTTGTGCTTGGCTATTGCAAACCTCTGCTGATCTTTGACAGTCAAGTCACGAAGTTTGACTTCCACACGCTTCTTCCGACCCTCACTCGCCAGGAAAATCATTGATTCATCCAGTTGTCTTGGTAGCTCCCAGTCATTTGGGGGTGTCACATCGATTTCCCAAACAACATCAGACCCACAACTATAACAGCCCTCTTCAACAATTAAAGCATCCCCAAATTCCTCATCTTCATCCGGGACTGGGAGCGACTGAGACAATTGTTGAATCCGCGCAAGTTCTTCGGCAGACATGCCCGGAATATTAGGCGACGGAACAGATGGAGAAGAAGCCTCTGACTCCTCTTCCTGAGCAGGTGCTTCCATGGAAGCATCTAGGGATTCCGGAATTCTTTCGGCCTCTGGTTCTGAACCCCCATCTAACTCGGGACCTGTCAGTTCCTCAGCCTCCGCAGTTGTGGGAACTTCTTCGCCCTCGAGGTCGATGTACTGCGGGGACTTGCGAAGCTGTTCTTTCAGAGGAGTTCCTTGACAAAGAGGACGCCCTTGATCATCTTTAGGAACCTGGTTCCATTCTCGAAGAGAAGCTGCCCTGATCTGTTCGGGGCTTGCCCGAATGAGACGCCCTGCATGGGAGAGCCAGACAACCTTGCGGTCCTTGGCCACAATCTCCGCCGGACCATGCCACCGGCCATGCTCTCGTCTCAGGTTGCCACCTCTCCTCTTCCAG